GTTAACCAGCTGTCTAAAAGCAAAGTATCGATGCATAAAAGTACGAAAAATAATTACGTACGAAAAATTTATTGATATCTGAAGTATCTGTAATCGCACGCGTGCCATGCATTCTTTCACTTGTATGTCGCAGTCGAGATAGACTCCGAGCTTCGAAACGACTTTATCGCAGATAAAGATAGCCTTATCACCCTCGACACGCCGATAAGATGCGTCGCGTAGAACTGTCGACGTACTCGGCTTCCTTTTTCTCTTTTTACACTAATAATCATCTTAGAATTATAATCAATATATACATATATACATAGAATGAAGCTTTAGGCCCACCGGAAAGCATCTCTTAAGAGGTTGAGAGTGATAATTTGTTTCGATTAGTACTTTTTATATTTTACGACATTTTTTTGTTAGAAGATAATAGAATAATGAAGCCATCGAATGAAACAAAACAGGTATATCTTAACTATCTATTATTAGACTCATATAGCGTAATACAATTTCTTTTTTCAGGGAACAAAAGCTATTAGAAATTATTCGATATATGATAGGATTGTTATGACGAAACAAGCTATCGATTAATTGGACATTGGTATCAAATGACATTCAATACCGCAATGATGTATAAATACATAAAAATAATTATATAAATATATAAAAATAATGACTGTATTAACAAAAAGAAATTATTTTTCCCACAAAAATCATCATAAAATATCGAACGCGCGTTTACAGGGAATAATTGGCGATAATTATTTTAATATCATTTATATAATAAATGAGATAAAAAAATGTACATTCATAAATAAAAGGAAATGCGAAAACTCTCGGGCAGTCTCTGTAAATATTCCGGAGATGCAAATTTGTCTGTATCTCTCTATGTATGCAAATATTCTTCCATATTTCTGCATATCTTGGCAATTTCTGCATATCTTGGCAAAATTGACATTCTCTGATAACTATAATCCACATCCACACGTGTAAATTCATCACTATCTATCGTATATACACGTCGAGAATATGGTTGTCTATTGTCAGACCTATCCTGTATCTAGTTATCCGAAAGTATCGAAAGCAAAATCGACACTTTGATACAATCGCGCGGGCACCTTGCTCATTAAAATATTTCGTCCTGATTGCTCGTTCGGCCGTCCCTCCCTGATTGCTCTCGTATTAGCGCTCTAAGTCATGCGCCGATAACAATCAGCACGAGCCGCTCTCGGCGAATGGAAGTCACGCGTATGCACGAGCTGTCGAATTAACCGATTAGCCTACAGCACCTGTCATCGTCCCCGGATGTCGGTGTCACCGGCGCGCCAAGTCGGCCTGTGTTAACAGGTGCCTTCGATTTCGAACAGTGCCGTTCGATTCGAGAATTTTATCTTGTACAAAAGGGAGATTATATATATTTAACCGCATTTGTGTGGTCAAAAATCGTATCATTGCTCGAATCTAAACAACTGTTTGAAGAGAGATAAGCGATTGTATAGAAAAGAATCAACGATAAAAATTATAAACATATATTTAATTTCTTTGTATTTCTTTGTATTTCAAATAAATATATCAGATACATATTTCCGGATAAATGAAGATGTAACAAATTTACGTATCGGTGTTTATCGAAAGCGTTGATTGTTATATAAATATCTAAACTGTAATCTGAATAGGAACATTAATACTATCAGCGCAAGGGTGCTCTTTCTCTCTCTCTCTCTTTCTCTTTGACACTCATTTGGTACTCATCTCGTGGGGTGCGAGAAGGACGTGCTTGCGAAAGTCACAACTTTTGGTATCGCGGAGGCGAAAGGCGGCAATGGCGAGAATGGCGGGAAAATTGAGCTAACCGTCCTGGTATATCTTGTTGCTGCACCGGTGTAATACGGTTTTCACCGGCTCTTTCTCAGAGTTACAGCTAGGCAGAATCGTGCCATAACTGTACACGAACAACGCGCGGATTTCGCGTCGGTTCGACATCGTATATTGATATAACGCGCGATGTTTAATATTTCTAGTTAATCTCAAGCGTTGTTTTTGCGAAATTATAATTTCAACTCTCGGATTCTCATCACAAAGCATTTGAATTTTTTTTCTCAAAAGTAAAAACTGCGATAAATTAAATATCCATTCAACGATATAATTTTAGCGAGGAAAATTTCGAATAAAATTGAGACAAAATGAAGGATTTTTTTCTCGTGATATGCGTCCTTAAATATAATAAATTATAAATATACATCAGAGTACATGTATTTTATATGAATATTTGCAGTATCGATAAAACAATATTTTTGGATACAAGCACTCACAAGCTAATATTCACTTACAGAACTTTTATTAGATATGTGCTAGTTATTCCTTTTTCAAATTTTATTTTCTAAAATATTTTTCTAATAAACTATTGTTTTTTTTGTAAAAAAATAGTGAATACTTTGCAATAGAATAATAAATGAAGAGATTTTGTTTCTAAACTGCTTTTACGTGACGCGTCGAGCGATTCTCGTCTTCCACGTAAAGAAGTCTACCTGGCAGCGGTTTAAGAATTCAGGCCGGAAGTGCACAAGAGTCGCAGCTTTCGAAGACGATCGTAAAACGTCCCGTCAGATCTCCGCCGTTTCCTGATCCCCACCGAGGTATCCTTCGCCAAGTAACTTCACCGAGGCATTAACGAGCGCTTCTAGTCGACGAGAAAGTTCAGCGACGCCTGTGCGCGGCAAATCTCAACGAACTGAATTCTATGGGTGCCTTCGTAAGCGATGCGTACGTTGGGAAATATCGGGAACAATTATACTTTAGAGGGAACAATTATACTTTAGAGGGACCAGAGATCCTATGGCATTTAATCATTGTATATATATTTATATAATCTATCTTGCAATTTGAAATCACGATACGACATTGATAGTTTTCTCTCTGGTCTCGCAAGATGCAGAATTATTTCCGGATACATCAGACAGAGAAACAATCTTGCTATTATGTATGATAGAATTTTTATAGAAATAGTACACGCGTTAAAAATATAGTCGTCATGTAAATTTAAATACGACCTTGCGCTATTAACGAAAGAATCTAACAAGAAGATCGATTCGAGAAACAGAGTATTTATTAATAAATGTTGAGAGAGAGAGAGAGATTGGCGTCAGGTATGAAAACAAAGTGACAGTGTCGTGACGGGAAAAGACGTGCGACTACCGAACGTGGGCGGAAGTGCGGGCGGTATCGTGCCAAATTCTAAATTCCCTTCCATCTCGCGGCCGTGCATGCGCGCCCCGCGTTCGAATAAGGCTCGCGTCCAGAGAGCAAGGACATTCATTGGCCACAATTCATCCGTCGTGCCGTGCCCGGCCAATCGGGCCGGCACTTTCCTCCGGTATTCCCGTCGTCGTCGTCGTCGACGCGCCTGGTATCGCGCGCAAAGGGCCCACCATGTGCATAGATAACGGCGGCGGATTTGCACGCGTACGTCGCGTGCGTATGGACGCGAGGTACGCGCGTACATGCCGGGTAAGTCGAGGCGCGGATTCGAGCGACGCGGCAGTTTCCCTGCTCGGCAACGTCCGCGCATTCTCGCGCCGCGTCGCGCCGGCCAGTTAAAAGTCGCCTCCATGCCGCCCGCTTAGACTCAGCTCGGCCCGCTCTCTCGCTCCGTGGCGTCAGCCGCGGTTAACAACAACCGGACGCGTCGAATCGGCCGACGGAATCGTCAAGCGCGCGAGCGCGCGCGCGCTTTGCCCGGCCGTTTCGAGATTTCATCTCGGCCTCTTGCATTTATATAGTTGTACGCCGTATCGCGTATAATAGATTATTGTTGCTGATACTACTACTCTAGCGCGAGTGCAGCTTTTCGACAACGATCGAGCAACTTTGTCGAGCTTCATAAATCAGATAACTTAGAGAGAAAGATAAAACGATATTTTATTCGAAATTTATTTGACGATTTCAAAATTCTCTTCGTAAATGTCCGTATCGTCTCGAAAACGACTCTCTCGCAGACTAGAAAATTTAATAGGCTATCTAATTTTAAATCGTCTAAAGATAAAATTGTTTAAAAATTGCAGGAATGAGAAAAAAAACAAGTAAAACATTTATGTATAAATTTAGTTGGGATATCTTAATAACTGAAAGAAGCTCGCCGGGGTAGACGCGCGTATAAAGACAATATCGCCGAGTACGCCGAAAATATACAACGGCGCGTCCCTCGGACGCCGTCGCCGTCGCCATCGCTTCCGAGGAGAAACCGAGCTCGACGTTACGCGCGGCGCGGAGCCGCGTCGTCGACGTGCATACGTGTGGCACGCTCGTGTTCTCGGTCTCTGCCGAGACGAGACGAGACGAGACCTCGGGGCCGCGCGCTCTGCCTCGCGGCCGCATACGGAATGACGCGCAAAATTCGCGGAATTGGCCGACGCGGGGAGGTCAGCCGATCGTACAACGACGGCGCACGACCCCCGGCGTCCTTTCGCCGTCGCGGCGTCCCGATGACGCGCCCCTTTTACCCGATAGGGAATAAAAATGTTCCCGGTGAATTTTCTTAGGCTGCGCGCCCTATGGAACGTGGCTCGCGCGTTGTCTGCCCGCGCCCGCCGCCCCCCTCGCCGCTCGGCTACCTCGGCCGCGCGAGCGAGCGAGAGCGAGCCGAGAGGAAGCGAGAGCGAGGACCTCCTCTCGCTCGGCCGTTCTTGCGCTGCGCGCCGTATACAGCCAGCCAGTCAGTGGCGAGTTTCGAACCTAGTGGCGTTAGGCCGACTCCCTCGTGCTCGAGGGCCCCTGCACCGGAGAGACCGAAGGTTCCCCGGTGAAGGCTGTCGCTCGGCGCTCTCGACGCGCTCCTCGAGACCTCCGAGACGCTCTATACCTCGCGTCAAAATTTACTCCCGCGGATTTCTCTTTCCTTTTCTCTCGAGGCTCCTCTTTTTTTTTCCTTTTGCCACGCAAACGTCGGTTTTTTAATATTTAATTGAATATTTCAAAAATCATAATCGACTAACTTCTTCTTTTCTTTTTTCTTTCAGATCAATTCGGCAAACTCTCGTCTCGCGGTAAGTTTATATAGTGTCTCCGATAGATATTATTATTGATTATAGTAGGAGGAGAGAAATATAAAACATAATTTACTGTAAGAGTTTATATAATCGAGCGATTCCTCGAAGGATCGTTCCCCCGATTTTCGCGACGAAGAAGGAAAGAAGCGCGGAAAACGTCGGCTCTTGGTGAGCGAGAGCGCGCGATTACCTTGCCGGCCACAAGGTCCTGGCGTCGCTCAGTGGCGCGATTGACCGTGCTATCTCGGTCGTCTCGTGAGATATTAAACAGCGCCGCGACGAGCCTGCAATCGGTGCGATCTGCGCACGGAGCGCGCGAGTCCGCGAAGAGTCATTTTCGAGTTTCTACCGTTCCGCCGTGTCGTTGAAATATTTCAGGCGGCCGTCGTCGATCCGTTCTCCGATAACTTTCATCGACCGACCGCGCTATCACGGACTTTCTCGGACGGAACGATTTTTCTCGATCGCGGACCTTTCTTGCGTCCTGAGAGAAGGATATTTAATATCGCAAGCTCCCCCTTTCGCGTCACCTCTCGCCTCCCCTCGCGCGAGAGAATCCGCTTCTTTTTCGCAAACGCGATCCGACATTTTTCTCCTTCCCTCTCCTTTCCTCCCGCGCGTTAATAAGCGTCGCTAATCATTCGACGATAAAAGCATTGTTTATATCTGAAAAGCTGCGCACTTGGACAATGAAATTTCCTTTCGCTCGCGGTTTAGAGTGACATACACAGTCCTATACGGTATTCAATTCGATATTAATTATGTAATTAATTTGCGCAGCGTGAATGAAACGTATCCTTTCATTTATATATCAGGTACAGCGAAACGCCAACAATATGGCATTATATGCGTTTGGCGAGCGGACGGATTTTTTTTTTCAAAATTCGCGTCAAGAGCGACGCGAACATATGTTAGCGTCGATACGAAGGATCATCCCTCGGTCGCTCGTTCGTTTTCCCTTTTCTTTCATTAACAGTCGACAATCAGCGTCGCGAGACTTGCTTTGAAATAATTTTTCAAACGCGTGCGTATATCGCGATTTGATTTTCAGAGATGGAATTTTCGAAATGTGACGGACAAAGCGCAACCTCGGGAGGGAGGGGGGCGCGTCGGCGCGCGTCTACGGCACTGACAGTCGTGTCGGAGTGCAGGTGGGCCGAGCGCTGACGGAAACGGCCGAGCGCGCGTTCGGGGGAAAACCGAGCGGCGCTACTCGGCGAGAACTGTTGTCAGAGTGTTCAGTAATGCTTCGCATGGCCAGCTAACTACTAGTATGTGCGTCGGTGACAGTCGCGTTGTCATCTGTTCGGAGTGATCGTGCGATGTTACTCGAGGAAGCTAACCGGGCGAGAACCGGCGGCCGACGCGTACGTCGCGCAGTGAATTCTTCGTGAGACTGTGAATTAAGAAGGGAGAAAAGCGAACCGGAGAGGAGATATATACCTAGAAAAGCGCGGACGGACACGTACGTGGAAAAGACGGACAGTGAGTGGAGTGAGACACGGTGAGAGAACGCGAAAGACGGAAAGAGAGAACGGACGAGCAGAACTCATCGCGCCAGGGCCGAAGTAACGTGGAACTTTGGTTTCGCGTATCCCGTCCGTTGGCGTTCGTTTTTTTCTTTTTTTTCCTTCTCTCTCTCTTTCTCTCTCTTATCCGTCTCGAATACCCGGTGACTCTCGGAGAGGAAAAGAAAACGGACCGTCGCGGTAGCACCGTGTGCGGCAGTGCAGCAGCAACGTACCAAGATGCTGTCGTCAGTGTCAGCGAAATAATAATGTGGTGCGACGTCAGTCAGGTGAGTTTGGCGCGCGGTTCCGCGGCGCATCGCTCTCTCTCTCTCTCTCTCTCTCTCTCTTTCTCTCGCTCCGCGGCCGGCCGCCGTCCTTTTTTCTCGCAACCCCCCATCCACTCCGCGCGCGCGTTTGCGCTTCCCCGTATGCATGTACGTGCGTTCCCTTTCGGCGTGTACGACACGCGTGCCGCGTTTCCGCGTTTCGCGCCGGTCGAAGAGAGCGGGTTACGTGATCGCTCGTTGCTCGGTCGCTCCGAGAACGACGCGATCGCGAGAGAGCCAGGCTCGTACAACGACTCGAGTGTTTGGTCGTCGGGCTTTAATCTCGTTGATAAGAACGTTACGCGCTCATCGATAGCATTCGCGGGACGAAGCGTCTGGCTTCTCTCGGTCGACGGTAGCTCGCCCCGAGAAAAGTCGGCGGAAAATCTCGCCCGTTGGGCTCCCTCCGATTCTCGTTCCCTCGGCTCAACCGCGCCCGCGACGACTATCTTCGGGGGTAAGGCGGCTCGAAAAAAGAAGGAAGACACTCGCCGCTCTTTCTCTCCACGGCGCATCGCGCTTACAGCGTTCTCGAAAAATCGATCAACGTTCCCGTACTCGCTCGCTCGCCTCTCAGGCCTCTCGCTCGGAGCGAAAAATCGTCGGCGCGCGCGAGACGCGCGATCCCACATAGGACATCCAAGTGTCAGATTTGACGCGTGGTAACCTCGTGTTCGGTAGTTTGAATTCGAAGCGATCCCGCGTTTCCTTGGCCCGGCGGGGGGAAAGGCAGGAGGGCGGCCGCAAGGGGAAAGAGGATGACGAGGCGAAGCTCGACGAGGGGGAACGACGAGGTGGCTCGCGTACCGTGTGGGCCGTGGAGTCCAGCGGGGAGCGAGAGAAGAGGGGACGGAACGAGCGACAGCGGCAGCTTGATAACGCAATAGGGGGGTAGGGATGGGACGAGGAGGGACGAGGAGGGAACGAGGCGGCGGAGTAGAGCGGCGTGGATGGGGAACGCGGATGGCGCGGCAGAGCGGGTGGAAAAGGGAGAGAGAGATCGCCCGAGGCTGCTGGCTGCCTCTTCTTCGCTTGGCCAGCGCCGCGAGGAAACCTAGCGTCGGTTCGGAGATGCCAGGGTGGGGATACGGTTATAACCAACCATCAAGGGGCAGCGTCGTCATGGTTACCACGACGACAACAACCCGATCTGGTCTAGGGGGGTGTTTTTAAAGACATATTCGCTTTTGCCGCGTCTCCCGCTCGCTCTTTCTCTCTTCCATTTCCGGCGTTCTCTATTCTACCCTCTTCTCTCTCTCTCTCGTTCGTTTTAGTCCTTTTTCCTTTATCCCCACCGCCTTCCTTTCCCTCTTCCTAGCGATTGTTTTTCGTCACGAGGTCTTTGAGCGGCGAAATGTTTTGCGACAAAATCGAAGAAGAGGGGCGATATCGTAATCCACGAAGAGAGCGCGGCTCGAGTCATAATTTTGCGCCACCGCCATCCGAATTGTTTTTCGAGATGCCTCCTAGCGAATGATTATTAACGTTATTTGTATAAACTTAATCTATTAGTCATGTAATAATATTGCGTGCCGAATTTTTAAGTACGATAAAAATATGGTATAGATTACGAGATGAAATTTAATATAAAACACATTGGAATAAGAGTAAAAAATTATTACTCGCGTCATATCTCTCGCGTAAAAATAAGTCTGTTAAATCTTGAAATCGAATGCTCAGTTTTCAACTTTTTATTCAATTTTTTTAAATCCGACATTACCACACTATAGAAATTCTTTCGACCTATCATTCTCGGGTTATTGGAAATCGACCTGTCGTACTGGTTTTCGGTGTCGAAAATAAAAAAAGAAATGATTACTCCGAGCTGCCATAGCACTTCAAATGCCAACCGCAAGCACTGTTTTGTTTGGACGATTAACTGTAGGTCCACTCGTGTGAAATTACACTGTAAAGGCATACATTTGCACGATTTGCTTTTGATGATCATTTCGGACAAAATCATTCAAAGCGAGAGGAATACTGTAAATAGTGTTTCAAAAACGTTGATGATCCATTGAGCCAAATACAGCGGGATATCATCTTTTATCACTTTGTCCAAATGATCATCCGTAATGAAATGATTTACACGAAGCGTATAAACGACGTTTCGTGTCGAATAATTTCCGAGACGATTCGAAAGTTTTTCACATGTCAACGTTAGATTCGTGTATCCCCCTGAAACTATAGACAGATTACAATCGAAATTAGAAAGAATTTTTGAGTTAGTTAGAATATATATTATCAAAAGTCAATGCATTCAGAAAAGATACAAGTATAGGAATATTTTAAAAATATCTAAAATTTTCCGCGCGATATAATATTTACGCCTCATTCTTTAAAGATTAGCGAGGAGAATAAATTACACCAAAGACCACTCGCGATTTTCGTTTTCTAGTGTGAAAGAAAGCAAATGAAATTTACTTGTTTAACGCAGGGGCGATTTTTCGCGTAAAATTAAACGATTTTTCGGACGTGAAATTGGCGCACGGACGTAGAGCGGACGCGGCTACCAAAATTCGGGTGACGATAAATCAGCAGTGTCTAGGGGATGAAGGTGTGGGTGGTACACAGACACAAAAGGGGGGAGGAGGGAGGGAGGGCGGAGGAAAAAGAGAAGGATAGAGAGGAGGAGAGGGTTTTTCGGCGTTTCCGACGGCTGGTGCGCCATCGGTGGCCCGATGACCGACAAAACGAGCAGTTTTTCCACGTGGTTTCGCGTCGTACGCGACAAAAGGTTGTCTCGTTGTGTGCGCGTTCGCCGGCGCATCGTTGAACTTGGAAAAATTCGTGCACGCGTTCACTTAACCCTTAACCCTGTCAAACTCGATGATGAATTCGCAGCTGCTCAATCACCAACAGATAATATAAATTGTAGTTTGTTTTAGCTGTATAAAAAATTATACAATTTTTAAATTATAAGATAATGCGACTCTCTCCTTCTCTCTCTTTATTTCTCCATCTTTCGTTATATTACAAGTATTAACGAAAATATACGTTTAATGCATGTGTCTCAGTGCAGGTATTCCTTCTAAATATTCAAGAGAGAAAACAAGCATTTTTTAACATAAATTTCTCGCTCCTTTAACTCTGATTAGTTTAGGATTCGGATTAAAATATGATTAGATACTTGTCAGTAAATACTCTCAAAGTGCTGCATTCT